TGTCATAGCTGCACATCCTTCTAGTTGCTGTATGTGGGACGCGGCCTCAGCATGGCCGGAGAAGCAGCGCGTTGGTGCGAGCGCGGGATCCGAACCCGGGTCGCCAGCAGTGGAGCGCGCTCACTTAACCACCAAGCCACGGGGCCGGCCCTCTTTTGCCCTAATCTTGACAGTAACTTGTACCCCATACTGTTACTCCTTATTTGAGACCATAAGCCAGATGATCTCCAATTCCCTGTCCTCCAGCTCTGCTTTCTCCCTTATTTTCCCTAAAGTGTCTACTCTAAGAGAATGTCTGTGGAGTTTAAGGTCATTGTGGGTAAGGGAGAATGCAAGGAGGGTATCAGGGCTAACACTTGTAGAATTTGAAGTAGGGGGTACTTTTTTGATGCTTTCTCACCTCCCATGTTCACATCCATCCCCCTGCCCAGCCACTCATTGTAAATAACATTCCAAAAAGATATGCTCTTAATTGGGTAATTTTTTAAAAATTTGTTTAAAAAACAAAAGATCAAAGGGTTTTGCTTTAAACCAAGATTTCTCCACTTTGGTACTATTCTCATTTTGGGCTGGATAATTTTTTGTTTGGGATGGGGAGCTTCCTGTGCATTATAGGATGTTTAGCAGCATCCCTGACCTCTACCCACTAGAGGCCTGTATCACCCTCCAATTATGATAACCAAAAATGTCCCCAGATATTGCTAAATGTCCCCTGGGGAGCAAAATTGGCCAGGCACGTTTGGGAACCACTGCTCTAAACTGTCAATTACTTTGTTAAAGCGTTAATTGTTAAGTAACTTAAGGTTTTCCCTTCCCAAGGAAATTTACAATGTGAAGCGTAGGGGAAAAGCTTATAAAAGCCACGGTAATGAATTACCTATTAGTAGAAGCTTAGTTCTAAATATCTTAGGGAAACAGGGGCTGTGGTGCTGAAAGCATGTAATAGTCTCTAAAAAGGATTTGGAAATGTTATATGGCCTCAGTTCAAGGAAGGCTAGTGGTAGAGATCATGAAAATACTGATGAAGTAAGTAGTCTGTTAAACTAATTCTTTGTGTGTATCTATGTTTTTTATTATGAAGTTTTAAATTTTCATATGTATGGTATCATAATATATGTATTATTCTGCAACTTACATTTTTCACTCAACAGTGTTTTTGAGGTCTCTCTATATTGATATTCATATAGATCTAATTCATTTCTTTCAACTGCTACAATATAATAAATACATCACAGTTTGTTCATTCTCTTATGCCAGACATTTGTTTCCAGTTTTTGGCTATGACAAATAATGCTGCAGTGAACACAGACTAGTTCTTTAAATACACATTTCAAACAGAGTTTTCTGGCTGTTTTTGAAGTCTCAGTTCTACAGGCTTTTTCTTCACTATTTCTTTTCTCCTACACTGTTGATAGGAGTTGACGTGTGTGGCTGAGGAACATGAAGCAGAGTTAAAAACAAAGCCTTTCTCCAGCAAAAGCCTCTTGGAATTGGAGCAGCACCAAACTCTTCTTGTGGAAGGCCAGGAGCAGAAACTGCTGGTCCTCCAGCTGGTGGCTGTTCTGTGCGAGAGAATGTCTGAGCAGATATTTACAAACATCACTCAGGTCAGTGGCTGCCACATTCCAGATCTCAGCCTGATGGTATTTGTCTGTTTTGGTTTCTTTACATTATTTCCAAAAAATGTTCAAGAAATATTACTCAGAGTGTGGTTTGATGCCACCTGCATCAGTGTTGCCTGAAATGCTGGTTAAACAAGCTCAGTGAAACACTGAGCCCACGCCTGACCCAGAGAATCAACACTTTCTTCATAGGTCCTGGGAATCGTCTTGTTTAATAAGCTCCTGAGGTGATTCTCATGCACGTAAAACTTTGGGAACTGTTTTAAATATTTTATGTTATATCACAGTGGTTTTCAACTTTTGATGCAAATAAAACCATCTAGGATCTTTTTCAAAATATTGATGCCCAGCCCACTTTTAGAGTTTCTGATTCAGCATGTCTGCATTACAGCCTGGGCATTTGTATTTTCTAGAGCTCCATGGATGATTCTAACGTGCGTCGAAAGTTAAGAATGATTAGAAACTCAAATTTGAAAAAAAAAGTCACTAAGGATAATAAGATCACCTTGAATTTTATAGGTCTTCTAACTCACAGTTTACCTCCACAATAGCATGTGAAATTTTAAGATGTTTTTTAAAAATGCTTTCAGAGTAGAATGGCTGTGTGAATCACTGCCTGAATTTTATTGGTTCAGACATTATTTTTATGAGCTTTTTTAAAAATAGGAAATAAAAGTAATAAAGCATAGGCAATGAAGTCGCCATATTTTACCATTTTACTAGAATTAGCTGTTGCTTGGTTGGTGAATAGTCAGTTGTAAGATGGTATGATTGTCACGCTTAAATCTGATTCTCCAGCTCTTTGTATCATCCCCATTGTCATCTGCCTTCTGGTGTTGCTAAGCAGCATTTCACTATAGCTCCTGCTGAGAAAATTTGCAGCTGCCTGTCATCTCTGACTTATTGAGCATATTTAATGAGAATTATGTTCGTGATTTCTTTCCTGGACTCTTATTCCTTCAGTTCACTGACCCTGTGTTACTCGATAGGGTGATTTGTTTCTCCTGTGTTTATATCATTCTCTAAAGACTTTTTCACCCAGACCTTATGTTTTTGTCTCAGGATGCTAGTTAAAAGGGTCTAAAAACTGATATGACTTAAGCTTTTGCACTTATCTCCCTTTACTCCTAATTAAGGAACAATGGCGTTAGGCTGATACAAAAGTGATTTGTCCCATTAAATTATCCTTCAGCTAAGGTTAAAATGTATCAGGACGAAAGGAACCACAAAGAAATATTAAATTGCATTTAGTAGTCCTAGTGCTAGTGATAATTTTAGTATGTTATTTTGAAACATACACATAAGGATAAATTGTAAGTAATTTTGTTAATATCATTAAGAATCAAGATTTCGGGGCCGGCACCATGGCTTAGCAGTTAAGTGCGTGCGCTCCGCTGTTGGCGGCCCGGGTTC